TTTTCTCTTCTCTCTCCCTACCCCACTTTTCTCTTTCTCTCTCTACAATTGCGTGGTACAAGAGCGCATGATAGAACGCTGCATTCTATCATGCGCTCTTGCATGGGTAGTAAGCACAAGCTATTGTGTACACAACAATCACGGCTACAACTCTGACAAGGCACAATTTAACCTCACTTTAGCTCATTGCATGTATATACTTATAGCTCCTCTCTCTCTGTCATTCACACACCTGAGGTCCCTGAACAGGAGTGACGCTGTCGTTGCCAATCTGCCCCTCATCGTTATCTCCCCAAGTGAACACCTGTCCATTGCTCGTGCAGCAGACGCAGTGGAGGGACCCGCAGGCAACGTCCACCACTATCTTGTTGGCCAGAGGACCCATGACTCTCTTCGGGAGACGCTGGTGGGAGTCGTCTGCATGCCCCAGACGATAATAATCACCCTTGCCCCTGTAATTACAACAAAACGATGGTGAAACATGTTTCCATGTCTTTTATCAGTAACATCTACAACTTTTACATGACTGGCAAAACAACAAAACAAAACACGTCTCTGTGTTCATTATCATCTCGTTCAACTAGTTTACCAGGTGTAAATGTGCCCGTTCTTTGTTGTAAGAGCAATGGAGAACTGCGAACCACACATCAATTTGACCACACCCTTCCCGCTGAGTGAATCCACCCTCTTCGGGACCTTTGACCCCTCGTTTCCGCCGCGGCCGAGTTTCCCGTAGTCTCCATCTCCCCAGGAGAAGACAGTCTCCTTGGAGGCCGCAAGAGAGTGGGCGTCGCCGCTGCCGCAGGCAACTGCAACGATCTTTTCCCCCTTTAGAGCCATCACCTGCAGACAACAATAATATTGTGTGTACACTGAACCATTGGACTTTATATGGCACGCTCTACTACATTTTCAAGTTTCATTTTCATGGTTTTTACAGGTAAGATTTACGCTGTGACAAACTTCAATAACTGGCAGTCGAAATCATTATCTGCCAAAACCTTTTCAGTGAAACTTGAAAAAATCCGGGAACCACATAAAATGCCTTTGTCTCTCTCACCTGTTTCGGTTTGTACTGAGTCTCATAGTCATTGTGTCCGAGACGTCCGTAGCGACCTTTGCCCCACGTGTAGAGGCTCCCGTCGTCAAGGATACAGGCAGAGTGGGAGGAGCCACACTCGGCGTCCACCACCCGTTTCCCCTTCATGGCGTCCACGAACCTCGGAGTGTCCACATTACTGCACATATTGTGGAACCGAGAAGAGAGAGAAATTTGAAAAGAAAAAAAAACAGGAAAAAGTATCTTTGGTTGTTGTAAGGCGGGAAGAGGGAGAGAAAATACTATTGCTTGCGTAATGTTTACATCTTAGATCAATCCCCCCAACTCACGCTGTTCCTCCATGTCCCAGTTTCCCATCGTCCCCTTCGCCCCACGAGTACATCTCTCCGTTGTTGGTGAGGGCTAGACAGTGCTTCCCTCCCGAGTGACACGCCACCTTTGACACCACTATACCTAATACCATTGAGAGAGAGAGAGAGAGAGAGAGAGCACAGTGTGATAGAGAGTTACTATAATATGGATCTTTGACACCACTATACCTAACACCATTGAGAGAGAGAGAGAGAGAGCACAGTGTGATAGAGAGTTACTATAATATGGAATCTTTGACACCACTATACAATACCAGAGAGAGAGAGAGAGAGAGAGAGAGAAGGAGAGAGAACATGTATGGATCATTGACACACTATACCTAACACCATTGAGAGAGAGAGAGAGAGAGAGCACAGTGTGATAGAGAGTTACTATAATATGGATCTTTGACACCACTATACCTAACACCATTGAGAGAGAGAGAGAGAGAGAGAGAGAGAGCACAGTGTGATAGAGAGTTACTATAATATGGATCTTTGACACCACTATACCTAACACCATTGAGAGAGAGAGAGAGAGAGAGCACAGTGTGATAGAGAGTTACTATAATATGGATCTTTGACACCACTATACCTAACACCATTGAGAGAGAGAGAGAGAGAGCACAGTGTGATAGAGAGTTACTATAATATGGATCTTTGACACCACTATACCTAACACCATTGAGAGAGAGAGAGAGAGAGAGAGAGAGAGAGCACAGTGTGATAGAGAGTTACTATAATATGGATCTTTGACACCACTATACCTAACACCATTGAGAGAGAGAGAGAGAGAGAGAGCACAGTGTGATAGAGAGTTACTATAATATGGATCTTTGACACCACTATACCCAACACCATTGAGAGAGAGAGAGAGAGAGCACAGTGTGATAGAGAGTTACTATAATATGGATCTTTGACACCACTATACCTAACACCATTGAGAGAGAGAGAGAGAGAGCACAGTGTGATAGAGAGTTACTATAATATGGATCTTTGACAAACTAAATGGTCAGAATTGAGCAAATACTACGGTATGCGACAGTACCTGTGGTCACCTAAAATACTGGAACGAATGCCACGCAATGGCGAGCAAGGACTAGCAGTTCAACTGTATTTTGAATGACGTTCAATAGAATCACGTACAACATTACGCGTCACATGCAAAAATTCCCACGCGCAGACCACTAGGTAGGCTTGCTTCGATCGCCAAGCGTACATGGAAAAAAAAGCACGTGTTCCTTGCAAAAAAATCCAGGGAAGAGAAAGAGAGAGGAAGAGAGATGAGAAAGATGAGGAAGAGAGAAAAGAAAGAGAGAGAGGAAGAGAGAAAAGAAAGAGAGGAAGAGAGATGAGAAAGAGGAGGGAGATAAAATGGAGTGAGGAAGGGTACTCACTGACCTCTGGTGGCAAAGGAGGTAATGAGAGTTGGCGTCGAGACGCTGTCAACTCCTCCAATACCTAGTCTTCCATATGCTCCGTAGCCCGAGGCATACACCTGCACGAGCCAAGCAAAAAGGATGTGTATTTGTGAAGGGGGGTTCAAATGATTGTGCACATACGGAGAAGGAGAGTCTGAGGACAAGGCTACATGGCCTAACCTTCCCATCCTTGGTGATGGCAAACATGGTCTGCTCTCCTCCAGTGACCTTCACGGGGGACAGTTCCGAGAACGCCTCGCAGAGCCGTGGGGTCTTGATTTTGTTCCCCTCGACTCCCCCCAGCTGGCCCCTGTGGTTGTGTCCCCAGCCGTACACCGAGAACGCTATTCCCAGAGGAATTACCCACTCCTTGGGGTACCTGTAAAAATAATATTGTTAATATACAGCAACGTGATCATTCATGAGTCATTGCGTTCATAATACAAACTGCCTCCAGTATCACCTCAAAGCTCACAAGATGAATTCTGAGACTGTTGGCATTTAACGCTGGGATATGCACAATATCATGACCACTATACACTATACTACAGTAAACCTCCCGCACGAGTGAGCAGGAAAAGAAAACTGTATATACTTGTTGTTTATACCAGTGGTTCTGGGTGGATAGTGCTGAAGCGGGAAGAGCCTACGGGTCATCAAGTCCCCAGTGTGACAAGTACTTAATTCTGAACCTCAGATTTAGCAGGCCAAATAAATGAGAATTTGAACGTATAATATACTAGTATAGGTAAATATGGTGTGTGCATTACAAATGCAATTTTGCTTGCTTTTGCACAAGTTCGCCAGTAAAAATGGTCACACTAAGGTATATACTGTACCTCTGCATCCAGAGGAGTAGCTGCTCGTCGTGCTCAAGTTTGAAGATTTCGTTGTTCTCGTGGTCTCTGTTGGACTTCTCTCCCGGTTGTGTGAGGGATTCTATACAGGCATCGACCTCTGCCAGACACCTAGAGAGAAATGACAGCGGTTACGTAGATCAGAACATTTTCAAAATCTGAAAATCCCCCCGATATGCGAAAATTCCAACCTGCAAAGATCTTTTAAACAGTGGTGTACGTGCATGGTCTATTGGTGAGGCTCAAAAATCTTTAAAGTAAATGATTTTCTAAAGGTGGATTAGCTACCGGATATGTGAAAATTAAAACCGCAAAAATACTTTTTAATAAAAGTGGCAGTGTCGAAGTAGAAGAAAGGGTGGTACATTTACTATAATACCCTACTGTGGAGATATGGGATAAAGTAAGCCCTACTGTGGAGATATGGGATAAAGTAAGCCGACAAAAGAAAGTGGTAGGCGTTTATGAAGCACACACAAGTGCCGAAAACCTGTGTGGCAGGTATGGGTGTCCTATTTGTGTGAAGCACACCAGAATGTTGGGGCACTTACTGAAGTTTCAATAATACCCTACTGTGCACATTACGGATAAAGTAAGTAGGGAAAGAAATGAAAGAGTGCATAATGGAAAAGGTGGTAGGCATGTACGAAGCACACGAAAGTGGCGGCAACCTACGTGGCAGGTATGGGTGTCCTATTCTGGATGGCTCTGGCCATGCGAGCGGCGACGCAGAACTGCGCGAACCACGTCCATTTGGTGGAGTCTGAGCAACTCTCCATGCAGTCCAGCTCCACGTCGCAGCCGAGGAGGACGAGTGACTGGAGAAAGGAGCTGTGTTGGAGCTGCGTGCCGCCCGTCACGTGGGCTATCTCGTAGTTGAACTGCTTGAAGAGGGCATCGGGGAGACAGCGCATGAGGGAGATGAGAGGAGAAATGCTGCCTCCTCCGGCCTGGTGTGGCAGGGAGAGAGAGAGACGGGGAAACAGCATGAACAAGGAAATGATAAAAAGAAAAAAATTGGTGAGCAATACCTATGTATTAACTCGTGTATTGCATTCGCCCAAGTGCCATGTGTGCATATTGTACCGTTCATGTGCAAAATCCTTTTCTGTGCAGTAAAATTCTCAGACTCAGAAAATCCAATCCAAGTACAACACCAAAACAAAATGTTTCTCGACAAAACATTCTCTACACAGTGAAAAATACAATCATTACTGACCTCCTTGACAGGACAGCAACTTCCCATCGCTCCGAAAACCAGAAACCCACTGGTCGGGGAATTGAGCAACTTCCTGAAATGCTGGATGGCCCACATTCGCTGGGACGCCCCGAGTGTCGATAGCTGTGCACAGGAGGCGAGCGCCGCTCCTAGTCGACTGACACTCTCCTGGGTCGGTGCACTCCCCAGCTGGAAATCCAGGAGACAGGTCACCAGATCTACGGACGGTCTGGACTGGAGAACCCGGTCAGATAGCTCCGATCCTCCGTGAACCTTCTTGGGGAGAATGGGGTTAACGGTGAAACGGAAGCCCCACCCGTTGACGGATCCGTCGCTCTTGAAAGTCCACGAAAGTTCGTCGCCGACAACGCGAATGTCTTGCGCCCAATCGGCTGTGTCTCGTCCCGATTTCACGGCGATAACGGCGCCGCTCCCGTCTTTGATCACCAGCACATCGTGCCGTCGCTCTGTTGAGCATCGGGGGTCAAAGGTCAGGATAAGAGCCTCAGCACCCGGCATGTGGATGTTGTTGCTATAGGTACAGTTGTCATGGTAGGGGTGAGGGCTCTCCTGGAGGATTGGCTGCGGGGTTTCACTGATCCTTGGAGACCTGGCTACCTCCTCCAGTTCATTTATACACAGTTCCATTAGCATTGTAGCAACCTGTACAGCATAGAGTTCAGCATTTTTATAATGCACTATACAGACAAACTACAAAGAGAGTATATACCTGTCTGATTGCCAATTTTTCATATTCTAAAAACTGTCCATACTGTAAGTATGTGTAAGATTTCAAAGATGTGTTTGCTCACTATAAATCAGTAAAGAATGTAGGTATATAGGCATGTAGTGAAATACGTGTCAATATGGGTCAACCTTCACGGTGTAGAGTGCGTAATCGTATGATTGTGAAAGTACCACGTGGATGGTGGTGTGCGCATTATGAGAGTGTTCATTTAGTTCAATTTCAGTGTCCCCAGTGAAAGGAACGTTGCTTTTTCCTAAACGAGATTATGCATCAAATTTAGCCTTTTGGATAAAATTTGCAAAATAATGAGTGCCTGCAATGCATGCAGACTTGAAGTAATGAATTTAGTGTTTATTTTTACATCAGTGAGCAAGTATGCAGAGGGCGGGCTGACGGCTATAGTCACAATACAAGGTGTTGGTGACTGATGTGCACCATTTCCAAATGTACACCGTTCACACTGTACTCTTACCACTGAGTCTATAGTGTGAGTTATGATGGGATTCGTGGATTGTGGGCCAACTAGAATTTAGCGGATCACCGAACAATAATAACCCCACCTCGGTATTAGTCTTGGCCATAGCCGTCAGTACTGCTCCGAGTGTCTCTTTCCCTCTCGTCCCCACCCTCCTAGCCACTGCCAGCTTCAACAGGTCCACCATGACTCTCGCATCTTCAACCGTTAGCAGGTGAGTAAAACTTATGAGGTCTCTCGCCAGTAGAGGAAAATTCGGGATGACTTTGTCAGACGATTGCGGTACTTCTAGTTCCTCCGGCTGCTTTGTTGAGGAGAACCCTGCATAATTAATATTTTCGCTTTAACACTTAGCCAGCCACCGACACATTTAATGTGTCCAGAGAACCATGAGTCCATAAGAATTTATATAGGGGTTATAATACTAGTTTATACACCAAAACATTGGATTACATACAAACAGCACAATCAGGCACATAACATGAGTGCGGTTTTTACATCTGCGCTGATAGACTGCTAACCAGCGAGGGAGGATATTTCGGAAGAGGGGATCACCCCTGTAATCTCCACGGCACTTGTCCCTTCTTCTTCCTGCAGGTCTTCAGCCGTCTCCTGGGCAGCTAGTGCCACACCACCCAGTGAGTTGACTATCGCATCTCTAGAATGAGAGAGAGAGTGAGAGAGACAGGTGGGGGGTTGTTAAGAGAAACCTACGTATGATGATGAATACCACATTAAACAGGCTTTGATCCAATATACACTGAATTTGTACCAAAGCACCGTAAATGAAAGTAAGTGCGACAGAGCAAAGATGTTTTGAAGAGCAAAGTGTGCCAAAGCTAAGGTGGCTTTAGGGAAACTTTCTCTAGAAGCACGCGGTGTGGACCGGACCTTGCATAAGCAATCTGCAGTGCAGTCTGCATGTGACCGAGAGCCTCCTGCTGCTTGGCCGGTGTCTGGAGAGACAGAACGATTTTAGTCAGCGACGGTCGTTTCATCTCGTCTTGCTCTCCCCCTGCCCCATCGTCAGGTCTCCCGACGAGCAGGGAGCTCCCCAGAGGGTCCTGCGAGGCCGGGAACGACACGGGAGAGAACTCGCCCGTCGCGGTGGGAGTCCCCGCGGCAAACGCCACGCAGTGCGAGGAACCACAGGCAATCTTGGTGATGCGGTGGTCCTTGAGCGCCGTGATGAGCTGCGGTTTCCTGTTGGCGGTGAGACTTCCGTTTCCCTGCTGCCCGTGTTCATTGTCTCCCCATGAAAACACCTACACATACATATACACAGACAAATATAAGGGGGTCACATGCAATTGTGAGTATTAAAAACTATTCCCTGAATAGAGTGCATTTTGAATTGTAGCTCACTAGTCATAGAACGTACTCCATCAACAAACAACACCCCCTTGTTACTCCTCTCGCCTTCTCCCCCCTCCCCCCTCACCTCTCCGTTGTCCGTGAGAGCGAGACAGTGCATCGCTCCAACAGCCACCTGCACCACTTTCTTGTGAGCCAGTCCCTCCACCTTGTGAGGCATCTTGATATTTGTGCTGGCATCGGAGCCCAGTCTGAAGTACTCACCTCTCCCCCTGTGCATAGTACATACGTCACTAGTTTTCTGTATACAGTGGAACCTCCGAACAAGGGACACTATGAGACCAACGATTCTGTCCCTTGTAGAGAGGTCGTCCCTATCTCGGAGGTGAAATAATACACTAAAGTATTAGCATGTGGTTGAAACAAGTGTCCTTTGTAGAGAGGTCGTCCCTATCTCGGAGGGTCCCTTATTGGAGGTTCCACTGTAACATTTCGTCTCCTTAAGTTAAAGGAAACCTAACTGTCAGTCAAGGCATATAATGTGGTCATGCATTGACTCTACTGATTTGACTGAGCATTAACTCTACAGCACTAGGTGCCAACAGTGTGACATTCTTTGCATCGGAAAATTACCAACACGACACACACATTGAGCTCATTCAGCATTTAGTGCCAAGAGAACTACGTAATGGCGTTTTTTCCCCTATCCGTACAGAAACTGGCTAATAAGACACAGACCTTGCATACTTGCTGACAAAAATGCACAGCATTACTTCTAGATGCAGGATATACTTATATAATAATATAGCGAACACAGGTGGAAAGAAAGAGTAAAAAATGCTTTATTCCGCATACTTTGGAAACTAAAAGACGAAGCATAGTGCACCGAGATCCTGAGTTTGACTCCCGACACAAGTTAGTTATTTCTCTTCCCCTCTTCACAGTCGCCTAAGCCGAGCTAGCAAAGGAAGCTATGCATACACTTCAAGGTGTCTAGGCATACGTTTCGATTTTCCCTTCCTCCATTAATTGTCCGAGGTGGCTAACCAGGTGTAGATGCTGCCGTCTTTTGTGAGTATGAGAGAAAAGTGAACTCCGCAGTGTAACTGGGCCACTCCCTGATGGTCACCGAACTGAACCTGCAGTGAGGAAAGAGTTAAACACTTCGCAAAACGATCAATCAATCTTATATCATTTATTTCACTTTGATACTATATACCTAATCCAGTTGTACGTATAATATGTTGTCATACTACCACTCTGTATAAGCTCACATACTCCATCTCGATTTCCTAGCCCTCTCTATTATGTATTCTGACTCTATTGATAACAAGTGAAGCTCCTGAAACCCTTCTCACTCTCCTTCTCCTCCCTTCTCGTAGTATGAAGTAAAGCGCAAACTGTTAGTTTACACGTGGCTGAATGCCCAATAGTATTTTGTAGGTCCTTTTTTCAGAGGTTTAATACATTACAAAGACAAAGGCAAAGGAAGCAAACGAGTCAACTAAACCCAGAGCAACTCTTTTTTCCAAGGAGAAATGAAGAGCTACACTAGGTGGGATTCGACACTCTGCAGTCTAGGCGAGCGCTCTACCAACTGAGCTACCAGGGCAGCATAGCTGGTAGGGGTTCAAATCTTCAACACAAGACAAAGGCAAACCTCAAACCACTGTGCTATGGAACAGTATACCTTCTGTGGAGTGTGGGCAAATTGAGTCCGTTCTATTCCGAGTTTCCCGAACGCCCCGTCACCCCACGACCAGAGGGTGCCGCTGTCTGTGACGGCAAGGGTGTGGGGCAGACGCAGTCCACATGCCACGCCCACAACACGATGTCCCTCCAATTCCCGCACCTGCATGTGTGTGTGTGTGAGGGAGATGTGGTGAGGCAGGGGAAGACGAGATAATATAGCTATTGATTTTTAGTTAATGAATAATTGTGTGCATGCGTGAGTCAAGCATATCATGTGAATTACGACAGGGAAAAGGAAAATCTTCAAAATAATGCACACATGCACGAATTATTGGTGAGCAGGAGCGAGCTAACCTTAGAGGTATATACAAACATGATTTTACACGCTGCCTAGATCTTCGACGCCCCAGAGAGAGAACTCTCGTCCATTCCGTGGCATTCGCTGCACTCTCAACCAATGCTTGACGGAGGCTGTACCCCTTTCCAATCTTCGTGGTTCCAAGGTGCAAGTTGTAAATAGGCTAGGATGACTCGTGCAGATACAGTCATTGTGTGCTCGCTCCCGCTCACCAAAATGCACTGCATTCGCCTACTAGCTAGTAATGCAAAAGAAAACAGTTTGTCACTGAAATAGAGTGGGAGTATGTTGCTATGAACCTCCTACATCTGATTCATTTGGCATGGTTATAAAGACAGCGGTGTTGTTTACTGCATAACATAACACACACAGAGCTAGCTATGAAAAACAGCCAGCCACGCCCTCTTTTGAAATCCCAAGTCATTGGTGTTTAGAATTTTTGAGGACAGATTTAGACACACCACAAAAAACCTGTATATAGCTCTCCCCGTCTTTTTGCAGAGCACTGTATACGCAGAGATTTATGAAGCCCTACAAAAAGGCAAGCGCCACTCCCCCGTTTTCCGAGCGAGAGTATTACGCGCGTCGTCCGGCGGCTAGCTCCTCAGAATACGAAAACTACAGCACCGAAACTCTGCAGCGAGAAAATCGCTATGGCTGTGGAACCAGCAGCTTCGTTCTACCTCGCAGTCCTGCTACTGTTGTGGGGTGGCGCGGTGCTCGCAGAGTTCGAGATTGTGGAAGGACCGGGCGAAAACTCGACGCTCTTCTGCGACCGGCAATGGATCGCATGGCGGAACAACACCAGGCCTTTGTACGACCTCTTTTTCTACAATTACCCCTGTCAGTTTGAAATCAACGGCAGCCTCGTCAATGAAACGTGCAACGGAGCCGCAATAAAAGTTTTGGAAGGTTCCATGCCCATAATAGAAGTTGGCTACTTCGAGGAAGGAGAGAACGGGACATTGGGACGGCCTGTTATCTGCTTCACTCCTCCGGCAATGACAGAAGTACCAGACAGCACTCCACGTGTGGTGGTTATCTACGTAACTTCATCCCTGGCCATTATTGCAAGCCTGATAGCACTAGTAACTCATATCCTTCTCCCTCGGATGAGAACCCTGCCTGGATTGGTCATAATGAATCTTTTCCTCTCGTTCCTCCTCGGGGATATCTTGCTGCAAGTAAGAATTGGGTTGGAGTACAACGGACACTACTATACAATCAACTATGTGCTGCAACAGGGGTTCCTGGTGTCGAGATTTGTCTGGATGAGCATTACTGGTTTCGAAATGTGTCGCTCGCTCTACAAAGGGATCCGCATGCAAATCAACTCGCACAATTACCACAAGTGGATGATGCTGGCAGTGTACATGATTATCGGGTGGGGAATCACCGTCATTTTGATGATAATCATAGGGGTTGTGGAGGAGAAGGGAGGGAAGGAGGTCAAGAGCGCCCTAGGGGCATTTGGATACATCACGACAATAGCCCCCATTGCCACGACACAGCTGATCAACATTGGAGCCGTTGTGTTTATCAGCATCGCAGTAGTGAGTGCAGCAAGGCAGCAGAACAGGGTGACGCAGCGCAGACTCTCAAAGAAAAACATAAACTTCGTTCGCCTGTTTTTAATCATCCTGACTGTGCTCGGACTCGTTTGGCTCCTATCCTTTGTAGTTGTATCACTTTCGGACCTGGCAAGTAAGGACAGCGTTGTCATCCCCTATGTCATTGTAACCAACACTCAACCCGTGTTCGTCTGCATAGCCTTCATCTGCACACCGAATGTTTTCAAGATGTGCCTCGTGAGATTTCACATCCGAAACCCGGAGAGTTTGCGGAGGAGTACTCAAACGGGGACCGTAACGTCTATGGTGAGCAGCACTGAAAGGGGATTCGGGAGAGGCAGAACGCAGATGGTTTCTTTGAATCACAATATTCGTCCGCCTTCCGAGAGGGTTCCGCCCCCGCTACAGGCAATCGCGGAGGAGGGCGGGAGTGGAGAAGAAGACGGGAAAGACGAGGGGGTTGGTGGTGAGAATGGAAACGGGGTGGGCAAAAGTGGGGAAGGAAAATCCAACGGTAATTGTTGATAGGGCAAGATTCTGTCAGGAGAAAGTTGCACATCAGACCGTCACTAACTTAGTCAGAATCATAGACCACCACCATTACTAGTAGCTATCATTATGTAGCTGTGTGTGCACATGTAAAGCTATCTCCAAAGTCAAATTTTCACCAAAATGTTACCGGAAAGGCAATAATGAGACATGAGTGCATTCGCTGTGACAACTGCGCGTGCGCGTATGCACACTATCGTAGTGCGCATGCGCTCGAACGACGACTAGTGACGTCACATTCGGCCGTGCGCGCGCTATATAACGTGCGCAAATCCGTCTGCGCAGAAAGTTTTCACAGCTACTGCAATGGCTCGCTGTACAAGTCTACTCTGGAGTCTCTGGTCGCTCGTTCTGTGCTCTCTACAGAGCGCGAGCTGCTACGAAGAGCTGAGTAAAGTCAAAACCAATCTACTGCCCACAAGCCGCATAGTAGAACTGCAGCCACCAGAAACATGCAATCATACTCTCTTTGTGTTCTTTGCTGCGGCGGACAACTACAGCATCGTGGCCGCCGACGACACGCTGCTGGCAGGCCCAGAGGAAGCATGTCTGGATCCCAGTGTAGATTCGTTTATAAATGGCAGTAAGATGATCACACACGACTATGATGACTACGTATTTGAGGCGTTCGGGTACATCGTGGACGGCGCAATCTGCGGAAACGACTCGACTTTCTACTCCCCGGTAATCTGCGCCTACGAGAACGAGAATGAGCCATCAGGTAAGAAGAGGGTACGGATCAAATCCAAGATTTCGGCAGCTCACACCGCTATCTCCATCCTGCTTACTTCGACATCTCTGATCTGCAGTTCACTCCTCATTGCTACCTACAGCATATTCAAGCACCTTCGAACACTTCCCGGACAGACCGTACTCAACCTAGCTGTGGCATTCTTTCTTTCAGACGCAATGGGCATTGTATTCCACGCAATTCTGTCATCAGGTGTCATTCCAAGTCCGTGGCTATTCATTATTCAAACTGCCAGCTTCAACAGCAGGTTCATGTGGATGTCAATAGTAGGATACGAGATTAGCCGACACGTGTACTTGGGGATGACCCTCAAATTTGACAGTCCGATAAAGAAGAGGAGAATGCTTGCTATTTACCTTGCCATTGGATGGGTGCTCCCTGTGGTGGTTGGCGTCGTTAGCGCTGCAGTTGAATATTCTGGAGCTGAAGCACATCGGGCATTGAATAAGAAACTATTTGCTGCCAATGGAGCTGTGGTCCTAGCTGCTCCAATTGGCCTATCATTAATCTTCAACGTTGGTGTCGCAACATTCCTCATGGTCATGCTCCGGATAGCTGCCAGGCGTCGCGATAGATTCAGGGGTAAGGTAAAGAAAGGGACAATCCAGTTCTCCAAAGTGTTTCTTGTTGTTTTGAGCACCCTTGGTTTTACGTGGTTAGCAACAATACTCCTACTCACCAGTGCAGTAGAAATTGCTGCGTTCACCTACATCACACTAATCCTCAACACAACTCAGCCCATCTTTGTGGCCGTAGCTTTTCTCGGAAACAAAAAGACGCTTGTTCAATATGCAGCTCTGTTTGGGTGCAGGAAGGAAGACCCCCTGGACGCTTCGAGCACCTCTCACCTCCTCAGACGAAGAATGACAAGGTTCATTTCGTTACTAATCTCAGAGAGGGAGTTCAACACGTTCCGAAATCAATCGAGTCAGTCGGGGATCAGCAGAGCGTCGATCCTGACACGTATGGGGAGCAGTTTCAGAAGCAAGCATCCACCCTCGCCACCTACATCAACCAAGACTGAGAAAGATATTTCAAACGGTGTAAACAAAGACAGCTATTCCTCCAACAAGAGCGAGATCGATATGTCCTCATCCGTCATCACGTACGTGAGCGGAAACTTCTCAGCTTTGATTTCTTCCCCTCCTGAGCTAGCGGCTATACCGGAGTATGACATACAAGACCCAGAAAACGGCATATTCGTCAATGGGGCCACGGTTAACGGCGACAAGCCAGAGTGCGGTAGTACTGAAGAAATGACGGTGGAGAGTGGCGGGGACGCGGGCAAGGACGAGGAAGGAAGTGGAAAGAGAAACCTGCAGCACCACATCTCTGATTCTTCCATTACACCGCTGTCACCCTGAGCCAAGCTTGGGGAGTACTGACAAACTTAATGTGTTAATACACGAGGGAGACATTGGTGTTAATTGATCAGAGCATATTTATATCATTTCACACTGTACTTACTATAGTTACCAACAACCACAATCTTAATCAGGCCCACATGTAATACTACAGCACTTTCACTTTTATCATCTGTACCAATACTTATTGGCACATTTATTTGTTTGTACTTGGATGGTGTTATATTTTCTTCCAACTAGGAAATCATTCAGCATCACTTGTGATTTATTCGGATAATTTCATGGGGTGTAGGCACAATCCCATATTAAAAGGCACAACCATAAAGCGCAAACAATAACAGAATGGGATATACCTAGGACTTTCAAACCTCCTCCAATCATTCAAAAATTATTGTCACAATTTGTTCATGTTTATAAGTTTTACAAGTGCACAAGTGCTGGCACGGGGGCATAGTTAGTTCCCAACTTCCGTTATGACCGAGGAAATAGTACTGCATCGATGAATTATTGTGGGGGTATCTCCTACCTGTTTTGGCTTGCTGACACTGCAGCAATCTCCGTGACCGAGTTGACCTCGATGGCCTTGACCCCACGTGTAAAGCTCTCCATTGGAAGTGATGGCTGTGCTGTAGCCACTCCCGCAGGCTATGTCCCTAACATGTTTTCCCTGAAGTCCTTCGATCATCTTGGGAGTATTGTAGCTCCTATACATATACATAAATGTACCATGTATATGTACATAATTCTATTCTCTATGGCTAGTATGCCATACTTTTCATACATAAGCATATCACAGAATCATCGTTGGCGCATTTGTATATACGATGTGTGCGCATATACATGCACATGCACAAAGCAGCTATTACGTAACACAAAACTGGTGTGCCACCATAACGTGCATGCTTAAATCATTGGATATATAAATAGAGCATGCTCAGGACTAATGTCTCCCACGAACTTGAAGTAGAACAACGTAGGTGTGTTAAGAGATTACAATACATTAAAGTAGCACACGTACAAAGCATGCTACCCTTTTTCTTGTTGTAGCCAGAAAATGGGGGATGTGCGTATTACGTATCGGCAAACAAAGATTAGTTACAGAACACTCCCAAAAATAGTGATTGCATACGCAGAGAATGCACATATAAAGCTCCCGTTTCCCACATTAGGAAGAAGGAAAACCACTTCCTACGTGTCACACAGGCCAAACGACAGCGAGAATGTTGACAAACAAAAATTTGGTCGTGTGATTTAAAACTGTTTGTGGAATCAAAGTTCAAAGACAGAAGAATACTCTTCCCATTGCTCCACACATATATAGTGCCATATAACTCAGCCTTCATTCCTTCATCGTACATGTGCATACATGTGTGAGACTGCGTGGGGTAAATGCTCTACCGACCACACCTTTAACACTTGATCTACAAACGCACCGATTGTCCCCGTGGCCCAGCTGCCCCATTTCTCCATCGCCCCACGAGAAGACTTTCCCATCTGCCGTGAGAGCCATTGCATGTCTGCCTCCAGAACTGGTCGCGACTTTCCTCACTACGTATGTACTCAGATCAGTCAGGACTTTGGGTACGGGTTGATTGGAGTGGTCGCCAACTCCCAGCCTTGCACTGGTGCCTTCTCCACATGCATACACCTGCGAATGGTGGACAGAGGGAGAGAGAGGCAAGGGAGACGAGAGAGGGAAAGAGGAAGAGAGAGAGAGTGGGAGGAAGAGGGGAGAGAGGGAGGAACAAGATAAGAGGACAGAGAAAAGGTGAAGGAGAGAGGGGGAGGGGAGATGCCTCTCATCAATTTCTTGGAACTCCTTCAAAGTGAGTGCATGACACAATCAGCGCACCCCCAGCATCCACGGTACACACAGATACACACATTATTATTCACATGACCTGGAGCCATACATGGAGCCAGGTCATTAGAGCTGTCGCGACTTCACCACCATCTCCTGCCAAAATAACTAACAACAGGAACGACGCCATTTTCAATGCTCGCTAGCAGCATGCATACACATACTTGCATGGAGCACAAGCTTACTACATATATGCATAGAGCACAAGCTTACTACATTATGCATAGAGCACAAGCTTCTTCTTCATGATGTCTGTGCATGTAAGTGTGGCAGAGTCTTGGTTGTTAGAAATGCAGTGCAATTCTGACGAACACGAGTTAGGAGAACTTCCCAGCAAAAGCATACCCAACCATAGACAAACCACCTGGTTAGGTTCACACTTTAACCCAGACGCTTGCTCAGATGCAAGCATACCCGAGCGTGGAGAACCCCCTGCACGGCGGGCTCA